TATCTTTGCTTTTTAACACTTTAAAGAGATCTTTTTCAGCAGATTTGCAGGAGATTTTTGACATATACCCACTTGTAAAACCATGACCACAATCAAGAGTGAACACCATCACTCTCAAAAGTTCCTTGTGCCCTTTTGCATTCTCTCTATCCTGCCCTCTCCTTCTCTGTTACTTGTCCCCAGGTAGCCATTGATCTGCTTTCTATTACGATAGATTAGTTTGTTTTTTTCTAGAATTCTATATAAGTGGAAGCATAGAGGAGGTATTCTTTTTTGGTCTGGTTTCTTTTACTCAGCCTAATTATTTTGGGATTCATCCATACTGTATCAATAGTTTATTGTTGAGTAGTATTCCATTCTACCACCAATCTGTCAGTTTGTTGTACTATGGTGGCTTGCATGTTGCTGTGATGCTGGAAGCTATGCCACCAGTATTTTAAATACCAGCAGGGTCACCCATGGTAGACAGGTTTCAGCAGAGCTTCCAGACTAAGACAGACTATGAGGAAGCACCTGGTGATCTACTTTGGAAAATTAGCCAATCAAAAACGAATGGGTCACAACAGAATATTGTCTGATACAGTGCTGGGAGATGAGCCCCCTAGGTTGGAAGACACTCAAAATACACAGTGGATGCAACAATGGACTCGAGCATACCAATGATCGTGAAGATGGTGCAAGACCAAGCAATGTTTTATTCTGTTATACATGGGGTCACCATGAGTTGGAGCTGACATGTTGACAACTGACAAAAACAACAAGTATTCCATTTTATGGATATACCATATTTGTTTATCTATTCATCTGTTGATGGATGTTTGGGTTGTTTTTAGGTTTTTGCTATTAAAAATGAAGCTGCTATGAACATTCATGTACAAGTCTTTTTATGGATATATGCTTTCTATTCTCATGGGTAAATACCTATCAGTGGAATGGCTGGATCATATGGTAGGTTTAGGTTTAACTTTTTAAGAAATTACCTAACTCTTTTCCAAAGTGGTTGTACCATTTTACATTCTCCACCAACAGTATGAGAGATTCAATTCTTCTACATCCTCACCAACATATGGTATGATCAAAGGTTGGTGGTCTGAACCCACCCAGAGGTGACTTGTGGAGTCCTTGTTGCACAGTGATTAAGAGCTCTGCTGCTAACCGAAAGGTTGGCAGTTTGAATCCACCAGCCGCTCCTTGGAAACCCTGTGGGGCAGTTCTACTCTCTTCTATAGGGTTGCTATGAGTTGGACTTGACAGCAACGCATTTGGGTTTGGAAGCGCCTTGGAAGACAGGCCTCGTGATCTGCTTTCAAAAGGTGACAGCCTTGAAAACCCTATGGAGCAGTTCTACTCTGCACACATGAGGTCATCATAAGTCAGAATTGACTTGAAGGCAACTAGCAACAATAACAATAGGTGGATAGTGGTATCTTTTGGTTTCATTTTGCATTTCACTAGTGATGACTAATGTTGAGCATCTTTTCATGTGATTATTTGCCATTCATATATCTCCTTTGGTGAAGTGTCTGTTCAAATCATTTGCCCATTTTTGTTCTAGTTGTGGTAAATATATATGTAACAAAACAAAATTGGGTTGTTATTGAATTTTGAGAGCTCTTTATATATTCTGGATAGAAGTCCTTCGTTAGGTCTATACTTTGCAAATACTTCTCCCAGTCCGTGGCTTGTCTTTTCATTATTTTAAGTGTCTTTTGAAGAGCAGATTCCAATTTTTATGAAATCTAATTTATCAATTAGTTCTTTTATGGATTTGTTCTGTTATGGTGCCATCCCAGTTAGGTTTTAATAGGATCCCTTTGGCTGCTATGTCAGGAAGGGAATGAGGGGGGTAAAGATGGAAGCAGGGAGACCAGTTAGGAGGCTATAATAAGAAGACAAACAAGAGATGATGATGGTTTGGATTAGGGTGTTTGTACTGGAGGTGATGAGAAGAGGAGGGGTTTGGGTGTATTTTGAAGATAGGGCCAGTAGATTTTTCTGATGGATTGGATGTCAGAGAAATAGAGGAGTCAAAAAGACTCCACCTGAGCACCTGGAAGGATGGTGTTGCTATTAGCTGAGAAGGGAAGACTATGGGTGGGCAGAGGCTTAACAAAGGTATAGCAGTAGGGTGCATGTCCTGGGTGCTGCTTGAGGTGAGGCACCAACGAGCAGTTTCTATGGGCCATCACGGTTTCCATCGCCACCTGTGAGAGATCGTTCAGCAATTTAACACAAATTGTGTAGGTGCTATTTTCTGTAGATAGGCCCCTCGTGAGGGCAAGGATCAGAGGTCAGTTTTGACATATCAAGTCTGTGATCCTATTTGACATCCCATGTGGAGTAGTATTTGGATGTATGACCCCAAGTCCAGTGTGATTCGACCTCTGGTCGTGCTATGTTCTGTGTTATCCTCTGATATTTCTCTTCTGAATTTATATCTTTTGCTGGACTTGTCACTTCTTTTATTGGACCTTATATACTAATTGTCTTGGAAGAAGTATAGCCAGAATGCTCCTTAGCAGCAAGGATGGCGAGACTTCGTCTCACATACTTTGTGAACATGTTATCAGGAGGGACCAGTTCCTGGAGAAGGACATCATGCTTGGTTAAGTCAAAAAAGAGGAAGACTCTCAATGAGGTGGATTAACACAGTGGCTACAACAATGGGCTCAAACACAGCCACGGTTGTGAGGATGGGGCAGGGCTGGGCAGTGTTTCATTCTGTTGTGCATAGGGGGGCTTTGAGTCGGAACCAACTTGAGGCACCTAACAGACGTATACTACCTGTGTAAGTTCTAATTCATGTAAGATGTTGTTGTCGGTTCAAGCTCAACACCAGAGCCTGTATCAATGACTTTTCTATCCCTCAGGCTACATCTAGTCCTATTTGTCCTTCTCAAGTCTGTGACATTGCAGGAACTGAGAGTGGAATAAGTTTCCACCTATACCTTTGTATAGATTTTCAGACCTGGCTGACTTTGAAAAGGAGGAAGAGCTGAGGGAGGCCTCTAGGTCTTTCCTTTATTACTCCGAATTGGGCTCTTTGGTGGTTCCAATTGTTCCCTGTGTGTAGATTGACAGCCTGGGGTAAGGCTGACTAGCTCTTTCCTGCTTACTGCTGGTAGGTTATAGTTACACGACAAAAAAGGGAGAAATAACCACTCTCTCCTCCATCCTGCAGGTGATGTTCTCTCCGCAAAGTGGCACCCCTGGAGTCGTTGCTGTTCATCACGAGTGAACTTGGGTCCGTTTCCCAACTACATGGATGTCTTAATTTGCTAGTGCTGTCGTTGTTGTTCTTGTGTGCCGTTGAGTCGATTCTGTCTCATAGCAACCCTATAGGGCAGAGTAGAACTGCCCATAGGGTTTCCCAGGCGGTAGTCTTTATGGGAGCAGATTACCAGGTCTTCTCTCCTGCAGAGTCAGTGGAGGGTTTGAACTGCTGATCTTTCGGTTCACAGCTGAGCCCTTAACCGTTGCACCACAGGGCTCCTTTTTTGCTAGTGCTATGGTACCAGAAAAACCACAAATGAGTGGCTTTAAAAAACAGAAATTTATATTCTCACAGTTTAGGAGGATAGAAATTCAAATTCAGGGCTATAGGGAAGGCGCTTGCTCTCTGCCGGCTCTAGGGGCTGATCCTCGTGTCTTTCAGCTTCTGCAGCCCGGTCCTTGGTTCCTTTGCGCTCTCCACCTGGCATCTATCTTCTCCATTTGTGCTTACTCCTGTGACTAATCTGCTCTTTTTATAACTCAAAAGTGTTTAGGTTTAGGACACAGCCTACATTTATCTGGCCTCCTTAGTATAACAAAGAAAACCCTATTCCCAAACAGGATCACATCCACAGGTATAGGGATTAGGGATTAGGATTCCAACATATCTTTTAAGGGGCAGGGGGCACAATGCAACCCATAACATTGGAGATTTGCTTGAGATGCTTCTGAGTGTTGGGTTTAAGAAAAAGGAATTCATCATTAAGGAAAAAGGAATGACTAGCACTGTTAGATTACTGAGGCCAATAAAGGCTCGGGGGTCCCTTGGGCAACTGAAGCAGTGCCATCCACTGGCTGGTCCCACACGCCACAGGGTGTCCCCACGGAGGGTGTACACTGAGCTGATAATGTCAAGTATCACGGATTGCAGAGATCCTCGATTTAATATTAGGCTCCTCAGAAGGTGCCAATTCATTGTAGTAAAGTTTGGCATATTTTAATTTTATTTCCCTCCAGATTGCTATTTGTTCTACTGAAAACAAAATAATTTCAAAAAGAAAAGTGATTGACAATGTTGTCTTGCTCACATGGAAGTCATTTTCGTGATCCCTTGTCCCCTTCTAAGCTTCTTCACTTGCAGCCATGTTTACATTGCTGTAATCATCATGTGGTGCAAACGGTTAACCCACTTGGCTGCTAACCAAAAGGTTGGCAGTTCGAGTCCACCCATGGGCACCTCAGAAGAAAGTCCTGGCGATCTACTTCTGAAAAATCTGCCATTGAAAACCCATTGGACTCATGTGGGGTCACCATGAGTGGGAACCGATTCAACAGTAACTGGTTGACTTCATCATACTGTATATATATTAATATACTTTTGTATTAGCATTATCCTTAATAATTTATTGAGTGCTGGCCGTATGCCACACCCTGTGTTAAGAACTTCACAACCACATTTCATCTAACCCTCATAACCATTCTGTAGGTACTATTATTAGCCCAGAGTCCTTGTGTGGTACAGTTAATGCGCTTGGCTAGGTTGCAGGTCTGAGTCCACCCAGAGGTGCTTCAGAAGAAAGACCTGGCAATCTACTTCTGAAAAATCAGCCATTGAAAACCCTATGGAGCACAGTTCTACTTTGATATACGTGGGGTCACCATGAGTTGGAATGGACTCGATGACAACTGTTTTTTTTTAAAAAAAATAATTATGCATTATAATGAACAAGCTGTCTATTCTTTGTGATTTCTTTCAACTTGACTTATAAAGTTATAATTGCTCATGCTTGCTTAGGCAGCACATACACTAAAATTGGTGTGATACAGGGAAGATTAGCGTGGCCCCTGCAGAAGGATGACTAGCAAATTCACAAAGTGTTCCGTATTTTTTATGGTATGTAAATTATGCCCCAATAAAGCTGTTACCAACAAAGCTATCAGCCCTCTAAAAATCTGAAGCATTATGGTAAAACAAGTTCCTTTTTAGAGGTAAGGATTGTATTTAAGATTTTCTTATCCATATTCATATGTGATATGTGTCTATAATTTTCTTTTTGTATATTTTAACCTTTATCAGGCTTTAGAAAGAAGATCATGCTTGGCAAATGGACATAATGGTACTCTTACTGCCTTTTGCACTCTGGATGGTCTATAAAACATTGAAATGATCTGTTTCTTAAAAATACAATAATTGTCCTGATGGAAACATTGGGACCAGCTACATTTGTTTGGTTGTTATTGGATAATTTCCTCAATTTCTTTTTTGGTTTTTATTCTGTTTAGATTTATATTTTTAACGTTTTCAGTAGTGTATATATTTCTAGAAATTATTCATCTTATTGAGGATTTCAGTTTATTAGCCTATAAGTGTGCATAACATTCTCTTTGGATTTGGAGGGGAAAAAAATCTATTTTTCTATAAATTATCCTATCTCCTTTCTCATTTCTAATTAAAAATGTTCCCTTAATTATATTTGTCTGACGTTTGTTTATTCTATTAGTTTTTATCAAAACACCAGCATTTGAAATCATTTACTATTCTACTGCTTTATTCTTTATAATGTATTTATTTAGTTCTGCTTTTATCTTTATTTACCACCTCTTTCCAAATTATTTCTCCTCTTAACTTTTAAATAGAAGGCTTTGTTCAGTTGAATAATCCCAGCCTGAACAGGATTCTCACGCCTGAAACAAGTTGTAGGGTGAGAAACTGATGTGTTATAATTCTGTGTTAATCAGTCAGGGACCAGTAAAGACCGCAGAGCCCACACCAGCCAGTTCAACAGAGGGGATTTCACACTGAGCACTAGTTGTACAGGTATTGGAAGAGCTGAAAAGCCAAACGGGGAGCACAGAGATGAGCAACAGCAGCAAGCTGCTACTCCCCACCCTAGCTCAGCTGGAGGCACCCCAGAAGGAGAGATGATACCAGAGCCCAGGAGCTGGCAGAATCACAGCTCTGGTGAGAAACCAAACGTGTTGTGTCCCCTGCATTCCTTTCTCTTCTGACAGGACCCTTCCACCCCCACCCAGGCTCAAAGCTGGCCAGCTTGGAGTAACCCTCAACCCTTCCTTCTTCCTCATGTCCCATATGGGCCTCCACACATCTGCTCCATTTATGCTCTAGGATTTCTCCATCACTTTCTTCTTATCTCCACTGCACCTGAACCAACTCTGGCCCTCATTATTTCTCATCCGGCTGTAATAACGGTCTTCTAATGGATCACCCTTCCTCTAGTCTTCCTCCATTCTAGTCAATCTCCATGCTAATACCAAAGTATAGTATTTTTTAAAAAATTTTATTGTGGTAAAATATATATAACAATTTGCCATTTTAACTATTTTTAAGAGTTCGATTCAGTGACACTGCTTACCTTCACCATATTGTGCTACCATCACCACTATCCATTTCCAAAAGTTTTTCACCCCACAAACAGCAACTCAGTGCTCCTTAAGCAATAGCTTTCCATTTTCCCCTCCTCCAAGCCCCTGATAGCCGCTAATCAATTTTGGTCTCTATGCATTTGCCTGTTCTGGATATTTCATATGAGTAGGATTATGCAATATTTGTCCTTTTGTGGCTGACTTATTTCACTCAGCATAATGTTTCAGGTTCATCCATGTTGTATCATCTATAAGAACTTTATTTCTCATTGTGGCTGAATGCTATTCCATTCTATGAATATACCACATTTTGTTTATCCATTTATCTGTTGATGGACACTTGCGTTGTGTCCACCTTTTATTTATTGTGAATAACGCTGCAGTGAACATTGGTGTGGAAGTATCTGTTTAAGTCCGTGCTTTCAAGTCTTATGGATATATACCTAGGAGTAGATTTGCTAGGTCATATTGTAATTCTATGTCTAACTTTTTGAGGAACTGCCAAACTGTTTTCCACAGTGGCTGCACCATTTTACGTTTCCACCAGCAGCACACAAAGGTTCCAATTTCTCCACATTCATGCCAATGCTTGTTATTTTCCATTTTTCTGATAGAAGCCATCCTAGTGGGGCTGCACAAGAGCTCTGGTGGCACAGTGGTTAAGTGCTCGGCTGCTAACTGAAACGTTGGTGATTTGAACCCACCAGCTGCTCCATGGGACAAAGATGTGGCAGTCCGCTTCCGTAAGGATTTGCAGCCTCAGAAACCCTATGGGGCAGCTTTACTGTGTCCTATAGGGTTGAATCAACTCGATGACAACAGGTTTGGTCTGGTTTTTTTTTTATAGGGGTCGCTAAGAGGCGGAATGGGTTTTGGTTTAGTGGGACTGAAGTGGTACCTCATTGTGGTTTTAATTTGCATCTCCCTAATGACTAATGATGTTGAACATCTTTTTATGTGCTTATCGGCCATTTATATATCTTCTTTGGAGAAATGTCTATTCAAGTCCTTTGTTCCTTTTTAAATTGGCTTATCTTTTTGTTGTTGAGTTGTCAAAGCTATAATTTTGAAATGCAAATTTGATCTTGTTCCTCAAGGCTGTAGACTCCCCAAGGTCCTCCAAGGACTCACTCACACCCAGCTTCTTCGCTCTGGATCAGCTCCTGCCTACTTACGCTACCTCATTTTTTGCACTTTCCGTCACTGGTCTCTGCTCCAACCATGCCAGACTACTTTCATATTCCTGCACCTGTGTACCTGCTTCTCCCTGGTCCTGGAAGGCAGTGGTTCTCCAAGTGAGGTCCCCGGAGCAGCAGAATCAGCACCATGTGGGAACTTGGTGGTGGTTGTTGTTAGATGCTGTCGAGTCAGTCCTTACTGACAGTGACCCAATGTACAACAGAACAAAACACTGCCTGGTCCTCACAATTGTTGCTGTGTTTGAGCCCATTGTTGCAGCCACTGTGTCAATCCAGGGTAGCTGGTAGACATGCAAATCCTCAGATCCCATCCCAGACCTACTGAATCAGAAACGCTAGGATCGGGGCTTGGAAATCTGAGATTCAAATGCATGATAAGTTTGAGAACCACTGTTGTGGGGTACTTTCCCTTGAACCCTGAATCCTATTCAGTTACAGTTGTGATGTCTATGTAGCTTTTTCTGAGACCCTTGGGCAGAGCTAACCACCCTCTCCTCTGTGTTCCCCCAGCACTTTGCCAATACCTCTGCTACGGCTGTTAAAACCCGTTCTAGCCATTAACACAGACTGTGAGTTCCTCAAAGGAAAGGACTGTGTCTTGTTCATCTTTATATTCTCAGTTCCTAGAAATTTTCTAGAAATGCACCTGACTCTGATACTGAGCAAATGTGTATACACACAAACGTATGTATGTGTATATTCTTTTGAGAGGTGAAATATAATTTAAAAAATTATTCAACAAATGTTTACATAATGCTTTCAGTCAGGCACTGTCCCGAGCACTATAAAATTGGAAACCTTTTAATCCCCATGAACACTGTCAGCATCAGGAGCTGTTACAACCACCACTTTCCAGATAAAGAAACCGAGGCACAGAAAGGTGAAGGTAACTTACAGTCACACAGCCCGTGAGTGGCAGAGCTGTAATTCTAGTTCGGGCAGTCTGGCTCCAGATTCTGGATTCTTAGTCCCTGCCCTACACTGCCTCTCAGAAGAATTAGCTGCGTTAAAAGGACGTGTCGAGAGGCTCTTCTTTGCAGAAGTTGTATGCTGTGTGTGGCCATTTCTCTGGCTTAGGCAGCCCCCAAAGCTGCGGAAGGGGTTCAGTTTAGGGCAGCAGCAGCTCCTCCGGAGGCTCACGTGATCGGCTTAGCGCTTGTCTACCTGTGGGCGAGAGGCCCCGGCCTAATGGTCTGGAAGAGCTTATTTGTTTAGAGCGCCAGCTACCCCAGATGACCCAGGAGGCCTGAGGAACAGGCTAGAGTGGTAGCTTTTAATCTTGCATGAGTCAGACTATTTCTAGGAAGGTTTTTGGAGAACTTTAAGAAGAAAAGGTATGGTAGTATTCGCCCCAGTATAACATAGGCATCCACCTGCCTGGAGAACGGCTGGCTTAGCTAGAGATTCATACAACTCAGTTTCAGTTCTGAAGCATTCTGTCCCTTCTATTTAGTTCCCTGAAGAACAGGATTTCTGGAATTCTCCAAACGAAAGGCCCTCTTTCAGCACCTGAGTACTTATCAAATCCCCATTTTGTGTCTAGCTCTGGGTTATATGCCGTGAGGCGGTGAGAGAAGTTTACCACTGGCTTATGAGAAGCTCCTAGTATAGTTGGAGAAAAGGGCTAAGGCACATACGTGAAGAATTGGGAGAAGGCATGATTTTAGATATTAGCATACAGTAATTAGCATAGAGTCAAGTGCCAAACTGAGTGATACCAACAATTAGAGAACAGAACAGCATGTTGTAAGATGCAGATTATGTGTCATGAATTATAAGTATAAAATGAGTTAGAGAAAGCAGATAAACGAAGGCTGGGGTAGGAGGGGGAAGGATTCAGAAGGGAGTGAGATTTGATCTGACTCATGCAGGAAGATGATAATAAAATAGTCACATTGGCTAACTTTAGCTGACAGCGCTATTGAGTGCTGGGCACTTCTAAATGGTTTTCATTAATTCATTTAATTTTCACAGTAACCTTATAAAATGGGTCTTATTAATATCCCCCTTTTATAGATGAAGAAACTGGGGCATGCAGAGGTTAAGTCATTGCTCAAGATTATACAGCTAGGCGTGGAGGGGGTTGGATTTGAACCCACAGCCTGTCTTCAACTCTTGTGCTTAACCACTGGACTATATAAATAGAGTGTGCTCTTTCTTCTCAGACATTGGGAGTCCAGAGCATAGACCTGGGTTGAATGGGGCTGGAGTAGGACCAACCTGTGAGCAGCAGAGTGGAGCCAAGAGTGATCTGAAAGATGGAAACCATGTGGAATTGATTATTAGATGCCAGACAGATAGTTCAGC